ATACTGAATAAAAGCAGAATAAATCTGAAACATGTGAAGTGGTATTTGGAAATAGTCCATTTCGAAACATCACTAGTAGACAAAGAACGCTGTATTTATAATAACCAAGAACTGTAAGCAAAAGTAGCTTGAAGTAACAATATTCAGTCTTTTATCTTTGTTCATCAAATCTAAATTTTCAATAGCTAGTAACTGGAAATGCCAACACAGAATTTTCCAAGTGTATACCTACCAAATTTCTTGTTCGACAAAAAAAGGAAGTGTTTTAAAACTCAAGTGTTACTCAGACTTCTTTTCTTTTTTTTTCCGGAAATAACAGAAATGTTCAAAGGAAAAAATGAAAGGTTTCAACTTTCAGAAGCCATAGACAATTTATTTTTTCATAAATACAGGAGTCTACAATATTTTTTTTGTACATTTTCATTTTCAAATGTGCTTTTGAAAAAATGTGACAGCATAAACGTGAGCATCAAAGACTAAGCCATCTCTGTCCTTGAAAACACATGTATTTCTTTCATATGGCATGGAAGAATATAACTCTGTTGTGATTGTCCTTACAGAAGACAAAGTTAAAATGCCAGGGAAATCTGCATTTCATTTAAGTAACCTTTCAAGATAATCATCAAGCTGTTCTAAATCATGTATTTGAGGAATTTGAAAAAAACTAAAATTTTACACTGCAGCATTTGACAAAATAAGCATATGAACAAACATGACGTTTATCAGCAAAGGTCATAATTAAAAAAAGAATTGAGAGAACACCCCGAAGACTTGAAGCATCAGTGCAATAGCCCAGAATAAAATGGAAACATGGAAGATGGAGTTAAGTACAAGTAGGAGAAGAGATTGCTTTTAAAGGAGTTCTTGTAGGCCCCATTCCTGTTGGGACAGCTTTACTGGGGGATTATAGTGTTGAAGTACATGCAGATTAGAAAGGCTATGCTGGCAACACTGTTCTTTTTAGCAATTTAATACTATCCTTGCTTTCACTCTGAGGAAAAGATACTTCTCTACTTAAAGCACAATTTTGCACATCCAGGTTAGCTGGGGATTATATTTCTTCACATGTATGACCCTACAAGCAAAGTCCGGAGGTAGAATGAGGGAGAATGCAGAAGCAGTGAAGAACTGGCATTGTATGTCTGCACACAACGTAATATAAAGGGGAGGGAAAGCACCTAGAAGAAGAAAAGAAACACATAGCAGAGACACCAACAGGACTTTGACAATGTAAGGCACTTCAAGAAAGGATGAAAAAAAAAAATTCTGCCATAAAAGAAATGTGAGGCCTGGAAAGAAGCAGCTGAATTTAATTCCAAAGACTTAAATCCAGCATCAACAGTAGCACACAGAAACCTAATGCCTGAGTAGTAGCTGTATCAAATATATACCACGTACTTAGTTTCCTCTGAACATGACTGGGGAAAAAAGCCAGGTCACCTGGAGCCTCTCAGCACTGTACCAGATGGCACCTGCACTTAGACCTTCCTATCTAATGGAAATGACTCAAGGCTACTAACACGGGTTATAAACAAAAAGGCAATATAAAATAAAGGCTCTGATAAACTGTATCTAGGAAATTTCAAGTTTTCTATGTGTGGTGCTATGAAATATCGGGGAAAAATGTAATGAAGCATTTGAGACATAAAAATCACAGACAATGAGGACAACGATATCAGGACAGAGAAATCAACAGCTATTTTATGGAGAAACTTCAAGGGACCCCAGCTTTTTCCCCATAGCAAAATTTTCACTAAGCCTCTCTCAGTGTTATATATTAGCACCATCAGTCTCTGCAATCAACAGGAATAAGATGCTTGGACTTTAAGGACAAAGGAAGACAGTGCCATTTAAAATTTTTATCTGATCCCTTTGCTACGGTGACAGGCAATGATCTTAACAGTGGCCATAAAAATCACAGGTCACTGAACTGAAAAGTCTTATTTTCCTTTAACCTCGAACAGCCTTTCAGAAATTCTTTGAAATAGTCCTGCAAAATAATTTGAGAAAGGATCACTCAGATTTCTTTAAAAAAGAAAAAAAAGAACGTTTGTGTAATTATGCTGAGGAACTGATTACCACAAGGTGGTATGGAGCTTAAAAGTAAATAAGAATTCAAAAAGCAATTAGACAATTTCATGGAGGAAAAGCCTATTAAACCTGTGTATTGAACTTGTTATTTGATTGAGTGGCCACGGGCTGCTGGAAACAGAGAGAGTGACTGAGGGGTACCCCTTCCCTAGGCACATGCTCCTGGCTATTGCCAGAGACAGGAAAGTGGACCAGAAGTACTTTTGACCTGACTAGTGAGGTAGTGAGTATGGCTATTTTTGTATACCAGGCATGATCCGAAGAGTGTTTAATTGGCTTATCTTTATCCAGCTGGTGGCCAGACAGACTGACTGAAGAGCAAACATTTTGGAAAAAATGATGCTATTTCGAAGGTCCTGTCTTAGATGGATGTCTGGGTACAATGCAGGAAAACCCAGTTTATTTGTAATTTGCACATTTATCATAAAAGCGTTGATTTAAATTATTTTTTCTGTACAGTTTCTATTTGCATCTTCCCATTGTTTTTTCACACAGGCTTAGCGCTTCCTTATTAGGGACCTTTCTAAGAACATACATAGCATGCTTAGCACCACTAGCCTTGAAGAAATCTTCCATTTAATAAATAAGTCATAATTTGATTTGATAGCAGTATTACATCTAATCTGTCTGTCCTTGCTGGGGTAGTGTCTGGGATTATCTAAGCAGCAAGATTAGTGCTACATGAACAGGCATAGGAATTCACAGCAGACAGAGCACCTGGGCACAGAGGGACACAGTGGGAAATGGGAGCAGATTCAGTTCCAGCACACCAGGGCATGTCTCCCAGGCTACAAATAATCCATAGACAGACATCTATGTTTATAGATGCACATGCAAGTAACTCTGGAAGCCCAGGACAGGCCACATTTTTCTTCTTTTGTTCAATAACTGGAAATACTTGAAATTAAATGTAATGTAATTTACCCTGTGAAAGCACTTCAGTAATTCTGCCATCTTTCCCCTCAGGCTACTAAGTTTTCCTTGAACAGCTGTGTTTGCAACTCACAGCTTCGCTGCAGTTTGCTAGTATACTCTGCTTTGTAGATGCAGCAAGCGAGGGACAGAATTTTTCTCTTTTTTTTTGTGTGTTTTGTGTTTTAAACAGAATGAAATAGTCTTTCAAATCTAAAAAGACTGTTTTGTTTTATATCCTGGATAAAAGCAACCCTGCACTCCTTTTAAAA